CTATCTGCCATATCAAATCATCTAAGGGCCATAAAGCAGAGCTAGACTGGGAACAATTCTTAGTCACTCACAGACAGTTGCTTGAAAACTAATCTCAACATAACTGTCTCCCAACATGACTCACTTTCTTGCTCCTGATCTGTTCAAAGTAACTACACCTGAACCTTGGCACCATTTTCCACTTCAGTCACACAAACTGTGCAGGTTGTTCAATGGGTGTTGAAAGTCTGTAAACTAGAAGGTGTTCTCAAAAGATAATTGCACTAGCATAGCCTAGAGGGTCTTTCTGCAGCTGTTAGTTATGTCCTGTCATACTCATATCTCAAAACTAAAACCCACAAGGTGCTAAAGCAAAAGAACCAGCAAAGCCCATCCCAGTGCTTCAGTAAGTCCCATTTTTCCTAATTATTTTAGCTTTGACCCACTGAACTCTAGAGTGCACAGTGTGAACAGAATCAAAAGATTTTTTTGCCTCAAAGATTGAGCTAGATTTTTTGCCTTTCTTTACCACTGAATGACAAAAGCTTTGGTTTTGTTTGAGAAAAGTTGTCGGACATGCAGCAAAACAAACCTGCAAGGCAAAAACAGTAAGGAGAATTTACATGCCTTCAACAGAAAGGCTGCTTCTGACTTAGAGACAGAAGGGGATTATAGTAGATTTCTAGTTTATTAAAAAGAAGAAAATTAGTAATTTCTGCTTCTTTTTTCTTGTGTTAATTCAGCTCATCTCTATTACAGGTCTTGGTTTCTCTTCTTAGCTCCTTCAAATATCAGCTGATTTCAAGACCTTATAGGACAGGGCAACAGAGATAATCTAGGACCTGCTATTATATTCTGAGTATCAGAGACCTAAGAGAAGCATTACTCAAGCTGTTTACATTTGTACTTGTATTATTAACTGTGTCTTTTTTCTTGTCTTTAATCTTTCCTATGCTATTTCAGAGTCTTGCTTTTCAACAGAAATTGAGCTCACTGTGATGGCAATAGGTACTGAATAGAAACAAAGGAAAAAAAAAAGACTCGAATTGCTTATTTTCTTATGAGACCAGATAATAAATACAGATAAATTTTCAATCACTCTACGATAGTTTGAGATTCTATCTCTTTTCTTTGATGCTGGCTATCTGCTGGTTTTCTAGATTAGAAATCATATAGTTTCCATGGAGAAAGCCGAGAACAGTGAGAATCAAAGACTTGGGAAAACATTTTCTAGACAATGTACTTCATCATATTCATATCACATTCGATTACTTGCAGGGGGGAAGGAAGAATGGAGAAAGGAGAAGCCCTAACAGTTTCTTAACATTTTTTCTCCCTCATCAATTATTGTCTTTAGGGATGAAAGCAAAGATAATAGTACTAAATAATACCAGTAGTACTGGTACCATGGTGAAATCATGTAAATGCAAAAACGTATAGTGAAAATTTAGTCTTGGAAAGGAATTTTTTTTTTCTTAGCAGTAGCTTCCTGTGATGCGAATAACTTTTGTGGACTGACACACTGAAAAAGCCAATTAAAGATGTTTACCCATTTTCTGTAGCTTAGTAATAGGCATTATAATTTGAAATTTCTACAGCACTGCCAATTATTACAGTACCGCTTCTCTTTTGGATGTGGCATCAATGACATTATGGGAGCTTTACATGCATACCCATCTATACACACATATACATATCCATCTACATACAATACATACCCATCTACATGTATGTATGCAATTTAAAAATCCACCTCCAATTACAGCATGTAAGACTGGGGAGGAGAGGACAATGCTAGGTTATTGCATGCAGTTTTCAAAGGCATATCTATGATTTAGGAGCATAAGCATTAACTCATGGCAGAACGACTCCCTAAGTCATATTTAATAACATCAAACTTGAACACTTACCCCCAAGATGCCAGGACATTAACCCACTGATCAAGTGTAAGAACAACCTTGTGAAATTGATAAATTATTTGGGTGAGAACTTTTTCCAGAAATATTAGCGGCTAGACATTTGTGAGCATCTGCTTTTATAGAAGGGGTCATATGTACAGGTCTAGAATTATAGCTTCTACAGTGACATACAGTGGTACCCAACATCTGCCATAACTTTACCTCCTTCATGAATCACCCACCCTCTAAAGCTCCAAGCACTGAAAGGGATTTCTGTATGGGCAATGTTGAACTGAGTGGGTGAAGCCACAAGTGGATGTGAAGAGATCTTATTTTCTCTCTCAGACCTGACACTGGCCTGTTGGGTAACTCTAAATGAGTCACTTAATTACCGCAATTCTAATGTCTCAATTAATATGTACTGTATCTTCCAGTGATATGACCTTTATAGACTAACAGTGCAAAGTTTGTTTGGGTTAAATGCAATTATTTATTAAGTTTATTGAAGCCAATTGGTTTTATAAGAAAGATTTCACACATGGCTGGATTAAACCATAGTTGCCTATACAAGCTCATTTTCATATAAGCCCTTTTCAATATAGTCTAACTATGAATAAGCCTTGCAGACACTTTCACTTCTTTTATGGTAAATATTTAACAGGGTTAGTCTGAATTACCAGAAACATTCTTCTTGCTGTCATTTTTATTAACTAATATTTTGTCTAGATATTTTGTGGATAATAGAAAAGAGGAATAACAGGATACATGAGTAGTAGCTTGAAAAATTCTTACAGAAGGTGAAGTATTAAAATATACACATACCGTTTCAATGTAGTTTTGTAACAAGTGGAGAGGGTCTTGGGATTATGGCAAAGAATACTACTTCTCACCTTTTAAGTGAGAATTCCCATTCCCATTTCACCCTGTGCCTAACCTTTATTTAACCAATCAGTTATCCAGCAGGGACCTGTTTAGGTCCTACTATACACTGTCAGACTCATCAAGATTCCTCGAAAAAGAGCCAATAAGAGAGAAGGAATTGCGCTCGCATTTAATGGTACAAAGGACATTGTTATTCATAGTCCAGTAGCTTTATGGCAAGAATAAACCTCTTGGAGGAAGAAAGAGTAACATATCTGAACGTTATTTTCATTGGAAAAATTTCAGTTTCAACAAGACTAAAAAACAGGAGGTTATGAGATTTTAAAAAACTACTACATTTGGGACAAAAGGCAAAGAATACATATACATGACTGAAATGACTATCTTGAAAAAATGACACAGAAGCATCCACAGAGTAACCCTGACAGAGACTTTCAGGAGTTAGCCAAGGTCAGCTAGTCATCTTAATAATTCTTTGCATATAATGTTACATTTTATAGTCCAGGGTTTTGGAGCCTGACATCTTACCAACCTTCTAAGCTACTGTTATCTTCACTTTACAAGTGAATAAATAGAGGCATAGGTCTGTTTAAATTGCCTGAGCATGCCGAGATCTGCTCCACCTGATTTCCAGAAGTAACAACAGCTTCCATCTTCACCTGAACAAAGTCAGGTTCTGAACCATTACCAAAGAGATCTGCAGATGATGCAGCTGCCAAAATGCAATGCTTATCTCTGCTCCTGCCAAGCTGCTACCAGAGATCTCAGTGTCCTGATCCCAACCCCTCCCACAATCACCATTAGAGTCCCCTCTTCCAGAACTTCACAATCACATCTTGCTTATGGTTGTATTTCATCAATAAAACCAAATTGACTCATGTTTCTAAGGTTATTTTACTCTACTCTGGCAGCAGTAAAGGTGATTTAAATGGATAGTATATTTTCATTCATTTTAAGTCTATTTTCAATTGCCTGAGTGGTATCAAGAGACTTGAGTGTAACTGAGAAGCAGATTCCGAGGCTTCATCTTAGCAGGGGCTAACCTCTGCCGCCCTGGAGGTAAGCACTAGAATATTCATATATCTGGAAATCATAAACACTTGCCTCCAAAAGCAAATAAGAGATGGATAAAAGAGGAGACAGGAGAGAGGGTTTCCTCAGTAGTCCCACCATCCTGATGCAACTTTGCTTAGGGGAGATGGATCCAGGTTCATACTGTCCCAGCCCCCCTTCACAGGGATTTGGCTACTTAACCCACGCCACCCCAAATGCTAGCTGCGTGATGTAACCAGGAGAGGAACTACTGCAAAGTCCATATAGACAATAAAACCTTTTTTTTTTTTTTCCCCCTCCTGATATTATTATTTGAATGGTACTTGAAAGCTGAGCTATTCTGGAACTTGCAAGGCTTCAGAGTGGTCTGGGTCATCGGTCAAATGTACATATTCAACCACATAGCATTAACTTTCTATTGCTCTGCCACAGGCTAGTGACTCACCAATACGCTTACTCATCATTTCCAGTGCTCCAGTGCCTGATAACTCTTAAATAATTCAAACATCCCCATTTGTCTGGGATGATGTTTGTCTGGACTGAGTTTTCTGAAAGCTCTGCAAGGACATAGGAGCCAGAGTTTTACTGAGGAGACACAGGGCCTATGTCTCTAAAATCCTAACATGTTTTCAGAAAGTCTCCACATCAAGTACCTTTTAATAGAAAATGGATTCACCTCATGTTTTGGTCAGTGAACCTAGGAAACATTTTCTAGGCTTTAAGATTCAGATGTACTGGATATGTTCTACTGAAATCATCCACTTATGAGCAATGCATGTGCCAAGACAGAATGCAAGAGAGAAAATGATAATATATTTCTGCACCAAGTGTTCTTGTACATTCATGGTATTTCTCATTCCCTTATCTTGGAGGTCTAATGGATCTCAGTGTGGAATAAATAGCAAGGAATTTCTATTGTGCGGTCTTGCCAAATGAAAGTCAAAGAACATTTTAAGCCCCAACAACATGATTATTCAAAGAATGAATAGGCAAGTGTAGCACTGAATGCCAAATAAAGGGACATAAACAAGAGGGATGGCTATTTGCATGAACTGAATAGCATGAGGTTGATATACTTGCAGACATAGAAATAGACTTAAATCAGTGCAGAATCTATACTATTCTCACAAAAAAAATCTTAACACAATTACACTGGTCTCCTTTTGGTAGCAAATTAAGAGTACTTACCATTCTTGGAGAGAATCACAGCCAAATATTCATGAAAGTAGGTGTTGATGTACAGCAGAAGGCTTGGAGTATGTGCTGTGAGAAAGCTAAATGCAATATTTTCCTTTGACATGACAGCATCCACATAAATGGCAGAGCTTGAGGTGCTTGCATTTTTTGTCACAGGATAAGGTTCTTGGAAAATATAGGTAATGGAAGTGCCAGCTTCAAATAATGCAGAAACCTCTGAAAGCATATATAAATCAAGGGAGCAATTTCAGCTACTGCATTTTCAGATCTCTGAACATGCACGGACATGAGATGACTTTGCAGAACACTGCAAATCTGACCCAGCTGACATCACCATTCCTTAATTTGGACGATCAGTGTGTCCCTCCTTTTGATCTGTTTGTCTGGCACAGAGAAGGACAATGTATGGAGATATGCCTCTAAATTTGACTGGTTTAGTGCTGGAATCATATTTCCACATGACGGAACAGGCCAAAATGTCTGTCAGCTAAACAAATATTCGACTCACCAACTTCTGACACGTTAGGCAATATTCTCTGTCTTCCCCCTAACTGTAAAAATAATATACTTGTCCTTTCTGGTCTCATTTTAAACAAATTCTTTATTAAAGCAACACATTGACCCAAATAGCCAGAAAGAGAAGCTGTCTTTGATAGCTCCAAAAGACGATAAATGTCTATCTGTGCATGCTCAAATCCTAAGAAGTTATGCTTGTGTTTTCAATAAACACAACATAGCCTGGCCAAGAAATACGCAGATGCGATAACAGCATTTTCTTCTAATGTGAGGCCCAGTAAAGTCAGGGTGGTGATATCTTCAGCTCCAGATTGGCTGCAAGTACTTTCCCCAATAAAGCAGCTCCACCTCTACAGCAGCATCTCCCAACAGGACGCTATGGGGTTATTGATGCACCTCTTATGGCATTGGTGCCAAAACCTCAGCTCACATAAGTGAGCATGGTTTCCACGGACTGCAGTACAGCTAAGCTGATTTACAGCACCAGATAATGGGGCCCACTTAGTTAACTTGTCATGTTTGTGAGGTGAGGGGCAGCCCTAGAAATTCATACACTTGCACTGCACCTTGCTGTTATTGAGCAGGAGTTTTGCTAGCTCCTTCCTCTCCCAAAGAGCACGCTATTTACAGTGGACGTTCTTTATTTGCCCTGCTCCTTTTTCTGCCGTTGGCAACATCTCGTACAAGCCACCAGAAAGGTTCAGTGAGGACACATTTGCCGTGCAAATCAGTTTTCTCCTGAATGCTTCACACTTATTTTTAAAATCTCTTAATGTTTGGATAGGTTGTCACATGAACGGCAAAGAAACATAAAAAGGCCACTTCTTATTGTCACACCATTGCTCCAAAACTCTAAAGAAAAGCTCTCAATATTTTTTTAAGGTGGACAAAGCTGGATGAGGTTTAAAAGCAAGGACATGGGCAGACAACCATTAAGAAAAATTTCAGCCCCATTTGTTAATGTCTGGGCCAAGTTATATGCAGCCGAGTACAGGAATCATAGAATGGCCTAGGCTGGAAGGGACCTTAGAGATCATCTAGTCCAACCTCCTTGTTTTGGGCAGGGACGCCACCTCTCGACTAGACCTGGCAACACATGGGGACCGAGCGGGAATCGAACCCGCGACCTCGGTGTTGGTCCATCGTGAGGTAGAGCTGGTAATGTTAATAGTAAAAATAACACTACTGTGATTTCTCAGGCCATGACTGAAGTCAATAAAAGGAAGTGTTACAGCCTGCTTAAGATAAATATTTAGTAATGCTGAAGGGACAGCTGATACGGTAACGTGACACCAAACTGACATGGCTGAAAATGTGCTGTAATTCAGAGACCACTAAGGACTTAGGACCAAAGGTGGCTGCCTACCTTCTTTGCAGAAAGGTCCTTCATAGGCTGAGTTGGTACAATCACAGGCGTAACCGTTATACTTCTCCACACATTTTCCTCCATTGTGGCACAGGTTACCATAACTGCTACAATGTCCTGGACATCCAGGTTTAACACCAGGTGTCATTTTAGCTCGCTCTTCAAGGTCAAGTTTCTGTCCATTTAGACGCAGAGATCGGATGCATCCCAGAAAGCCGTTTTGTCTAGAAGCTGTTCCCCCTGAAAAAGAAAGAAAAAAAGGATATGCATTCATTGGTGAATCTGCACGGTAATAAAGCCCCAAAGTCCAATCCAGAGGTACAAATATGAATCCAGGAATTTCAGAAAATATTATCTATTATATATCAATGAATACGGTGGCAAAAGAGAACAGATGGACAGCCCTGGAAACTAAAGGTCTCAATTTATCTTTATGAAAGGACTGAAAAGCTTTATGTGACACTTTCTTGTTGCTATTCTTCTGTTTTCTGCCTTATCTGCTGCCCTGTCTGGCATTTAAACTGCAAATTCATTTGGGAAAAAGATTAGCTTCTTTATCGTACGTCTGCATATCACCTAATACATGAGAAAACCAAACCTAAAATGTTTTTTTTCTTCTATTTGTTGCCATAGTACAGAGTATAAATAACACCCTAATCCCAACTGCAGGTGAGTTACACATGCTGATGAGTCCAGATAGCAGCGATGAATCACGTTCAGCACCAGGCCTGCTGGCTGAAGGGAAATGACTTGAGTCAGAATTTATGCATGACTGCCCAACCTGATGTTGCATGTGAATGGTTGTTGCAGGCAAGAAACATGAGTTCAGGTCACAGTTATGTTATTTATTACAACTGTTAAACATAATTGCGCTTCTTCCGAAAAAAGAGAGCTGTATGGATCTATGCAAGAGGGCCTTCAGTATCTACAAGCTAACTAGCTTCTTATCTGCCCAATAAAATTGCTAACAGTGTTACAGTGAAGACACTTTTCCATAAGAGATTATCTCTGAGAATGATAATAATGATGATTGTTAGCGTACTTTATGAAAATATCATGATTTTTCTTATTGTAGGCTTTGTTTGGCAATTGCCAATGTTTTGCTTTTGAAAATACTGCAATTCTGCCTGCTGCTAAGAAATCTAATTCTGGTTCAGTAGTTTTCAGCATCTGTAGGCTCTGAAATGCCAGCTTTATTGGTGATTCTCCTGCAAAAGCAGTATGAAAGAAGTTATCTTTCCAAATTATTCTTCTGTAGAAGTTGGTTCTATATCAAAGTGAATAAGAGATTACATCTTTTGATAAATTCTGGCAGAATAGCATCTGTTTTTTCATAAATCGTTTAATTAAAGCAAGTCTTCTGCAAACTAACAGAATGAAGCAGTGGTTGAAAAGGCAATCTTGCCAAAACCCTATTGTTCTGTTAAACCATTCTAGCATGGTTTTATTTTCTGGTATACTAATAGTGGAAATACTAGATTTGAATTAGAATAACTGAACTATAGATAGTATGTGTGAGACAGGTTTATTTCATGCTAATCTTACGATGCCCTTCTTGGATAAATACTTTTTTTCATATTCTTCTTTAGTGAGCTATTCTTTTCCCGTGAGCAAATGTTAGCTCACGTATTTCGAAGGCCCTCTGAGCACAAGAATTGGGCCTTCTGCATTTACTGCACTGTGCACACACTCTCTTTTTTTTTTTCTTTTCTTGAGATTTTGCTCCAAACCCAAACATACAATACAGAATTTTCAGTAATGTCTCCCTGTAGGATTGCTTGTTACTGTGTTTTCTTTTGCATGGATGTTAACCACAAATATTACAAAAATAAATTACAAACTATTGGTAACTATTCCACAGACGTCATGTTTATTGCACTACCCATATTCTTACTGCTCTCTAAGGCACTTTGGAAAACCATGTAAAGTAAGTTTCTCACTCTTTTCCTCTTCTAAAGTCTGGAGAGTATAGAGCTTAACAGAAAACATCTATATGATCCAAGATCCACATAGTATTAAGCAAATCTGTTTATTATTTGGGCAGTTCTCGTCAATTGACTAGACTTAATCTTCAAACACGTTTCTGCAAAGCAGAAAAAACCTGAAAACAACAAACAAAACTCCTCTCAAAATTAGTCTTTGCAGATTCCTCCTGCTCCAGCAGGCCTGTTAGACTGGACAGCTTCATGGCTGCAACCTCAATGTTTTGCTCAGGAAAACAGATTTTAGGATGAGCCTCAGGGCAATAAACACCAAGGTTAAGGGTGTTCTTTGCTGAGTGGAGGTGACAGTCAAATGAGCCATGCTGCTTTCAACAAGGTATTTATGCTGCTGAATTTCACTGAGAAGCCTTGGGGAAAGGAAGAGAAAGTCTGAGAGGAGGGGGCGAGAAGCTCTCAACTGAGCACTCGAAGTGTAACTTGGTGACACAGCTAGATAAATAATTAACATTCTATCACTGAATTGAGGATTTGCTTTAAAGAGCAAAGAACTTTTTTTGGTAAGAACAGGATTAGGGGGGCTGAAGTGGCATGAATAAGTATTAGGAATATTCTTTTTTAATGTAACTGATACAAAGAAAAGGAAAAGGAATGAAAGTATAAGAATCATTATTATTACTCAGGAGCAGGAGAATGTGCTATGATATTTCTCAGAAGACATCCAAGTAACACTTGTTAGTCTCAAACTGAAAGCTCTACAACGCAGTCAGGATATACAAGGAATTAAGCATTAATTCCTCCTCCTGGCCTCCAAAATATTTCAAAGTGTCTACAGATTCCTTTAAAACCGAGAGTAAATAAAGTACATCTCTTCTCTGCTTTTCTCTGTCTCCCAAGAAAGCTTCTCAGATGTTGACCTGCTCCGGAATATGTCACATTTGGACTGCCTAGAACAGACACAGGAGATGCACTGAAGGATTCCTGAACTCCCTTGCTTTCAGGACAAAACCAGAAACCCAGCACTTAAGTTTGCAGGTCAACATATCAAAAGAACAGCACAAAAACTTCTGATAAAGGCTTTATGCATCAAATCAGCTTCTTAGCATTTGTATTTTCTTCTTGATGTTACCAGTTCGAGTGCAAATCCTGTTCTCAAAGAGGTCTTCAAGGACTATGTTTCTCCTTCTCCCCCCATACTGGAGCGTTATGGTTATGCCTCTTCCATTCGATAAGACAGGAGTTTCAGGTCAGACTACACCATGAGAGGAAATGATGACACACCTCCTCCAGGTCCATAGGGATATATCAGGACACAGCTGCACTATCCAGAAGGATATCACTCATTTGAATGCTGATTTGAAATCGACTGTCCGTTGAAAGGAATGATTTTTGCCTGTCCTTTTGGATGTAACTAATGTGCCAAATTTGCCTGTTGCTGGGCAGTTTGGTGCAGCTGATATTATCTAGCCTGTACATTTGTTTGGGGATTGCTTCTTCTACTATTTTTTTTTAAATTAACAGAAAAAACATAACCAGGTGCAAGGATACCCATGCTCTGATTACAAAGGATGATGTGAGGATGATAAAGCAGCCAAAAGCACTTAGGTACCCAAGACCCACTAAAAGAAAGCGAGAAATTGTTTTCTAACTCCTTTAGGTTGCTTTAAGAACAAATTTTGTTTGAGTGTACTGTGAATTAAAAGTCATTTCTCCCTTCCACTTTGCACATACAGAAAGATATCTCAGAAGTCTGCCACATATCCATGTGTGCCAATGTCAGCCTTAACCAGACTTTCTGTCTTTATTGCAATAAGTGTAGCCATAGGAAAACTCTTTCTAGTACAACACAGATAAATACACAGATTCCCTGTGAGTCAATTACACATTTAACACACTAGCTAATCATTACTTAACGTACAATTCTGCCTCTAACTGACTATGCAGAACTACTTCTCTGTAACAAAAACAAACCATAATTGGATACAGATATTTATAGGAAGTGGTTGGAATAAAACAAACTCAAATCCTACCACATTGTGTTGCTATGGATAAGGAGGATAAAACATAAGTGCTTAGACTTGAACACCTCCATTTTGACTTCTCTCCTTTTGTTTTTATTTTCAGGCAGATATAGTAAGAAGGCAGCTGTTTCCCATAGTGTATTTTTAATAGCATGTGTAAGAAACCATCACTGCCATGGAATCCTGGGAACATCAGGCAATGATAATTTCTTACACATGCTAGGTTGTGTGCTGGCCAGAGCAAATGCTTAGGTTCTGCTCTCTCAAGGGGAACATCTCCCAAAGACAGATCTGCAGGGCCGACATCACATCAGCAAGGTGCAAGAACAGCCAAGGCCATTGAATCAAACACAAAACAGGGCAACGAAAGCTGGTTGGGCAGAACTGAATGGAGAACAGACAGTATGGAAAGAAACGACACTCAAATTCCAGCCTTTTGGTTAATACAATGAATAGTATGAGCACATGGGAAGATAGACCTGGTTCTCAACCATACCAATTCGTTTTATGCTGTATCAATGTATAAAAGAGACTTTGGGGTAAACATAAATCACAATCCAAGTACATCTTTCCAGAATATGTAAAACTTATGTACTTCTCTATCTGCAGCTCCAAAACAGAAATATTTTTGTGTGCATTACAGTGCAGATAATGAATTAGAGCTACTCTGCTTGTGAAGGCCAGAAGTGAGTGAAGAAGCTTTCCCACAGACGGTACTATTAATCCAAGTGATACAGTGTGAGCTCAAGCCCAGTAAAACAAGCCTAACATTCAGATATACTCCACAAAAATGTAGTTTTAGACAATTAAATACACTCAAGGTTACAGGTAAGTACTTAGATCAAGTTGAAGATTGATTTTTATCCTAGCAATAACCCAGAACAGCTTAAGTTCAATAACATGCACAACTCAAAATTAGCATAGGGACAATGTAAGTCATGGCGAGATACCCAGGTTCTGCTGTAGTCTCTGAACATCTGGATTTCTCTGCTGGAATAAGCAGCCATGACATCCAAATACTGAATTTGCTGTCATTATATACCAGTTAGTATTCCTCTGAAACAACTCAAGTTCCCATTTTTCACAGTCTTCAGGACACAGTTTTGTGTTAGTTCACTGTCAGTGTTTTCTCCTTCTAAAAATATTAGACAATTGTTGTGATTTGTGATTTTTTGGTTTGTTTTCTTATGGAAGAGAGTATTTGCTTACCTATGTGGTTATTTCTATCTCTAAATCCAGTCTTTTTTAATTCCTTGCCCAGACTTAAGTGAGAGAACATTATGTTCTTCCATATTTCAAGAAAACTGGCAGTAGGGCAAATAAGAGAGAAACAGCATCAAGGGCTCCACTCACAAAGATAGAAGTCCCTTATTGGACATAAAAGAACCTACACACATAAAAGATAAATCCTTCTCTGTGCTTAGTCATTGGGAAATCTTCAGTAAAAGCCTAAATCTCCTAAAATACCTAAATCAGTCAATCTGAAGATAAACTTCCAAGGAAAGTCAGGCCTTCTTAACTCCCATGTAAGGATGTGAAGTATTAAAAAGGCTGATTAACCTCCTCACAATGTGAAAGTATTGCCACATTGGAAGTAAATGAAGCACAGCTCCATGACTGCCTAGAACTGACTGTTACCATTGCTAGCGAAGGCTTCTGTTCAACTTTCCTCACTATAAAACATAGAAAGTAAAGTCAGTTTAACAGGTCAACTTTTACAAAAACCCTCCAACAAACTAACATAAAAACCCAAGAGCTATATTCTTCTGTTACATACAATCCCAAATGTATCTGAGTTTTGGGTTAAGAAAAAATTTGGCCAAAACAGAAGTAAATAATCAATTCAACAAACAAGTAGAGACAAGCAATTAATTGGTCCAAATTAGCAGAACTCCTTTAAAACTCTGTTACATGCCAACTGCCCCGTAGCCAAATTTTACATATGTCTAAATTTATTTTATATATGTGTTCTACTGTATATAATTCCCTAAAAAGAAAAGGCAAAACCACCTCACATATACTTCATATAGGCTGACATCTCTGAAGCAACAGGAAAATAATAGTAGTTTGAAAGCTACAGATCTCCATTCAATCATCATCATAATGCTACATGATACTAATATAGTTCCTTCATCCCAAAGGATCAATAAATCCTTCCAGAAGATAAATAAACTAAATTAAATGTTGACATTGACCCTTATTTATGAGATTTACAAAATACTTGAATTGATTCTGGAGAAGAATCAAGAAAAAAAAAAGATACGTCTTAATGACCAGCTACCTCCAGTATGGAAACAAGGTCCATGTTTAAATGCAACGAAATAGAAAGATTCAATCAAAAAATATTTGGAACATTTTTAAAATAGCAAATCATGTCAGTTATATAGATTATTAATTAAGAATGTGCATACTAACTGTGGAAAACCCTTAATCACCGTATGCAGAATGGTGCAGAAACCAATATGTTGTGGATTATAGTGAGAGTAGGGAGTAATACTATGTTCTACTGCTTCTTTGCTTTTTACATTGTTGTTTATGCATTTATTTTGCAGATGGGATAAAATTCACTCCACATGGTTGAGGTGTTAAATCAGTTGCTTCCTATTAGAGATTGGAATGAGACCTTCAGCAGAGACAAATTATGCCACATCTGTGTATTTTTGGACTTCTGCCACCTTTCCCTCGAGCACCTGGGGATAGTGTCAGAATCAGCAGGCTGCCCAGGTTTCCATCTTTTCTGACTTCCCTTAGGAAAATTCAGGAAGTCACAAACAGTTTTGACCTTCAATATGGTAGAGCTAAGGGCTGAAAAATCACTCCTAAAAAAATTAGATTTTTCCATCCCTTTTGTTCAGGGTTCAGTAAAAGGGTGGATGGGCAACTGAATGCAATATGTATACTGCACAGTGAGAACTTTTTATCTCTGGACTGAGATAAAGTAACTATGTCCTAGAGTTTACTGTAAATATTAAGTACAATCAGAGAAAACATTAGGTTGGAAGCCACTGGTGGAGATGAACTGCTCCGACCTGTTCAGATGAGATAGAGATTCATTTCAGCACCAAAACCAACGTGACCATTTCTGCACAGCTGCTACCCATCCACTCAATCCCCAGCTTGTATGGATACATGACGCTATTCTACCCCAGTTGCAGGGCTTTGCATTTGTCTTTGCTGACAAGGGTTCCTGTTGGCACATTTCTCTGTTAAGGTCCTTAACTACCACGGATTTCCATGATGCAATTCATTGATTATGTCACTTTAAAACCACCATGAAATTCGTTCAGGTAACTTGTTTATTTCACTGAGGCAGAAAAGCAAGTTTATAGGCAGATACTGCTTTTCAGATGTGAAATGGTAAGCAGTTGATATATGACATATCTGATGGATGACTTCAGATAAATCCTTAATTTTTACTCCTCTGACAAGACACAACCGAAATTTGGCAGAAGTCTATCCAATCATTAAATTCTCTAAGTTTTCTAACTGGAAACTACCTTGAATAGATTTCTCTGATGTATCTATGGTGTCAAGCAGCCCAACCCTACTGCCTTCAGGCCTGACCTCCTGCAGAACATGTTCTTAGGATCGTTTTAGCATTTGAGAAACAAATGATAGCAGCATGCTTCATACCAGAAAGCAAAAATCTTGCACTGTGGCAGTCTTAAGCCTCCCTTCTGTGAGCACTTCAGTGACCTTTCTTCCAGCTGAGTCTCTCAGAGACCATTTCAGACATAAATTGACAGCTATGAGGAAGGACTCCTGGCTGTTGATGCAGCTATATCTATTTTTTAATAGATTCATTCCTTACATTCAGAGTGCAGTAATTACTGCACATGTATACTATAAAAAGCTGAAATAAATACCCCAAAATCTTCTTAAATCAAAGGGTGTGAATACATGTGTAAACTTCATTAAAAGGAATTGAGAGATTGAGTTTTGCTATAGAATTTCAACTAAGTAAGAGAACCCAGTTCAAGGAAAGAATCAGTAGTTACCCGAGTAGCCTGAATAAGAAGCAGGTTACAATCCCTTCCATCACCAAGCAGATTACCCAGAAAGATAGTGTTTGATTTATAGAAAAGGGAGAAGTCTTTCTGTAATCCCTGATAATATTATCAAATACAAGGTGGTCCCAATCTAGATTTCATTTGCAAGGGAGATAGGGAAACAAACTATATGTAAACAGATTTTTTTTCTTCCCCTTGAAAGATCACCTTTAGTTAAAATAACTGTGTTTGCTTTGGCTGTGTACATAGCTCTCTCACACATGTGTTCTATGGCCAAATAATGGTTTGGTGTGGCATGCCAGAAGGAACAAACTTTTAAGACCATGCTGTCATCAGGCTTTGCCCCAGAAACTTATGTGACAAATTTGTACCTTTTAAATTGCATCTAAGGAGAGAACTCACATTCCCTACAGCAAATTACGGAGCCAGTGCAACACAAGAAGTACTACTATGAATTCTTTGGCAATAAATATGTTTCAAGCAACCTCAGACCCTAAAAACACTGTCTAGTATGGTATGCTTAAACCACAGCTAGTCCTCTGAGTGTAGAGGCAGTAATTTGGGTTTATTTTATGTTTCCCATGCAGGAATGGAAGACGAGAAAGCAGAATTAGGTGAATGGTGAAAGCTCAACGGTGGAACAACAACACTACCAAGGTATGGACATAGAAATATTGTACATATCTACAGAAACCCATAAATGGTCCCTACCTACAAATAACTGGCTGTTAAGCTGCAGTCGGAAGTGCCCCTCAGCAGGTGCCTCCAGGACCTTCTTGGGGAGGCTGTCCACCTGGAGAGAGGTTTGCTTGAGGTTCCTCTCTGCTCGGACATAGTGCCACTGGTTGTCATTCAGGGGTGTGGGAGACTGCACGGTGGCTTCTGTGGGGCCATTCCCAACATCTATGGAGAAGGTGATCTCTTTGGGAGCTGGAATAGATTAATAGATGTGAAGAGGAGGTGAAGGTCTGAATTAAATCATGGTTTTGACATCAAGAAATCTTGCATAAATATAGGGTCCATTAACTTTTATGTCAGCAAATAGTATAGTATCATTTACCTCCCATCTCCTACAAAGCAGCTTATACATAAATCTAAGCCTGCAGCCTCATTGTTTGATCTCTGCTGTGATTATGCTTGGCTGTGGGTACCCATCTCTTTTTGCTATAACAGTTCTCCTTCTGTAGCAAGAGTGCCAAATGCTGTACAAAAGTCACATAACAGTAGTGAAAGATTTTGGTCAAATAATGCTAAGATGGGAGAGAGCAGCTTTTTCTGACTAAATGCGTGTACTTAACAATAACAGAACTTGGCTGTGTATGGTAGGAGAGGATCCTACAAGCATTCATTTGCCTGAATAAGTCTGACTCTAGAAGCCAGGAAAAACAGCTGAGCAAAACTAGTTCTTTGGTGATCCTAAACTAAAGAGGCATACACAACACATGTCCAGAGATAGTAAGGCTGCTAGAAAGATGATATCGAAAAACAACTGCCATACAAAGGAATCCATCTCACTCTTCTGGAACCCTGAAAGGGGACAGAACTTTTTAACAAAAATAACAAGAACCAAGTCCAGAGACTACATAACCAGAAGCCTGTGGATTGAAAATTCATAAACACCTGTTATTTCATGCCCAACAAATTGGATAAGTCTGGTTTTGGAAGCTGGTTCTTAGATAGTTAAGATAGGAAATACTCCATAGGGATAGACAAAGATCTATTCTGAGCTCCTGCATCTGCTAAAAGGCCATTTCCCTTCGAAGCAGCTGGTCTGTGGAGCTTCCTCGACACCAGGCCTTTAGGCTGCAAATTCCATCTGGCAGTGAGAAATACACCACCAAACTGTTAATGAGAAGCCTAAATTTAAAAGACAAGACTTTCTCCAAACTTTTAAATAACTAATTTAACTAAGAGTACAAACTTAACACACATACAAAAGCTTTCACTAGACAATCTTCTTGGCAGTTCAGAGTATTTGTTACATCTGATATCAAAGTGCCATTGTTACTTCCATATCCCTGAGAATGAAATGCAGTACACTGAAGTACAACCAAATTGGACTTTGATGTGCAATTAACAGTAAATCATACCTCATTACCTTGTGATAATGCACCATGACATCTACCATTGGTTTAATGAATCGAAGGGCCTTGGAGCCCTGTTTTATTAAATTTTATGTTGGGGTTATTATAAGTATATTATAAAATGCATAACGCTCAGTTTGTTTTTCCTAAGCTTGACAGAATTTGTAAGACAGAAGTCATATTTCATGTCAAAGCCACAGTACTCTTTTGTCACTAATAAATATTTGAAGTCATGAGGTCAGGAATGAGGCAAAACCTCACTAATTAAGTTCCCCGCTACTCTCCTTTATATACTAAGTAACTGTTACACTGTAGTCACTTAGTAGGTTTTGAAGTATTTAAGGCCCATTACAACTGTGACTGACGTATCTTGCATTAGCATCCTGTCCTTCATAGACTTTCACCTTGTAGATCTACCACACATACTGAGTTCCTCTGAAACACGGGCTGCATCAGACTGGGTGTGTAGCAAGTAATCATCAGAGCGGTTGTATTAAATTTTTCATTTTTCAACTAAAATTAAAGTCTACGGGTACATCTAACTAGTAGCTTTTTCTCTAAAGAGAGTGTTGAAAATGTAAGTTCAGTCATCTGTTTGTTTAAGAAACACAAATCTAACCATAACAAAATCAAGTACAATGACCAAGACTATTCAAGGACACTCTGACAGAACAAGTAGATAAGTCTAGGTTAATGAGTCTTTATGTCTCCATCTCATCCTCTTCAGGTATCACCAACCATCTCACGACAGAAGAAAATATGTCCTTCCCACTTCCCCGCACATGTCAAATTGGGCAAACACTAAAGATTTCTCAGTGGTGAAACTTACAGCTTATTTCAACTCGTATGAAGTCTTTCATTCCAAGATTTTCCAAGAATACCCCAGAGACAGCTGTAGTTTTGAAGAAGAAGGAGATGTCTGCGCTGACCTCGGCATGGAAGGTGGGAAAGTGCAGGTAGGAGGCCTCTGTATTGAAGGAAGCAGCGTTCCAGAACTGCCCTGCAAACACAACCCCCTTCTCTATAGTTAATTGGAACAGGACAGCAGCTGTGAGACACACGTGCAAAGTCACCTTTCATCGGATAAATACGGGTGTGGGGGTTTTTTTTAAAAAAAGACACACAAAAACAAAAAGAAAGAGGGAACATTCTGTACCTATGGAAATTGAGAAGAGCTAGTACTCACTGTCTCCATAGCAACGCAAAGGGCCGATTTTCCAAGCAGCCTCAGAATTTGATCTGTTTGTGTCAGTGATCACTATCTGAGTTACAGGCAAATGGTCTTTGAAAGCAAGGAGGCCGGTATCATTTGTCCTGGATTATAATAAACAAACAGAAAGAGACAGATTAACCACAGACAAAATACCCAGCGTTCCTCATGCAAGCCAATATTTGAAAACACTTATTAAAGATAAAAGGTCTTTTGCAGAATTATCTAAAGGAAGTGTTACTGGTATGCACTAGTTAGGATAGGCACCTGCACATGTACGCTCTACGCTTATACCTAATTCTGATCACTGAAGAGACTGTATTTGGGCACAGGCTTCAGCTGTGGTTCAGAAGTGCAGAACGACTGTGAAACCGAGGCAGAGTGCTGTCATTCTGCCCGATGGCACTAGTCTAAAGTGGGCATCTACCAGGCTCAGCAGGATGAGTGTGATGTGGATCAGGCATTAATGCAAGTTTGCATTTCTGTTAAGGCAGCTGAAGACAGATAACAGCATTTATACTTGCTTTATATTTTATAAGTCCAGGAAGAGGCCCCTGATACCTGATCCAGCCAGACAATACCTGATCCACCTTCAAGACGGCTGGTACACAACCAGCTCGGCACACCGTGAAGATGGTTGAATTGGCAGAATGAGTTTGGACTGAATCAGCCCTTTGCATTACAGGCCTGTGGAAATTCTGGTTCAGAAGCTGACATAGGCGAGGCTGATTTACTGCACTGCCCAACTATAGTCTCTTCTTTGTATCAGCTGGGTTTGCTCTTCAGCTGCGACTCACACACAGCTGCTAGAAAGGAAGAGAAAAGAAAGAAAGAACGATTCCTTGGTTTGTACTTTGAGTGTGCTGGGCAAACCGTTGTTCTCAAAATGCAGCACAGTATTTCATGGCAGCCCTCTGGTGTCTAAGCTGATTGAGTGGCTTTGACTCAGGCAGGGTACACAGATGTGCATTCATCCCACTGCACTTCATGAACTGAACCAAGTCCCTCAGGCATCCAACCCTGACCTTACCAGAGCCAAACTGCCCTCTTGAGGTATTTCTCTATCGATTCATTACAGAGAGGTGAGTGCTACTGTGTCTTATCTCCACAGTGAAGAGTTTTTTCTTCTCCTAGCTCTTTTTCTCAGGGTTGAGGTCTGCTGTGCACCTGGGCACATAAACCTGGCAGAGCATCTTTCAAGAGGCTGAATCTCAGTAGTTTTGGAGAAAAGGATTCCCACTTCCACATGACCAGCAATCTCCATACAGGGTCTGGACTCAACTCACCTGCCTGCTCAGAGGTGGAAGACTACAATACTGCACATGGGGATGGCAACAATGACTGGATCCAAAATGCCAGTAATCCCAAATTTACACCCACTGCTCTTTCAGGGAGGTATGACACAAAGCCTCAAGAAACAGGTATCCCTTTTTGAGCGATAGCACTGCCAAAGAGTCTGACATTCCAGGCAGGATCCCAGACTACCTATATGCTGCTCGTAACACTACCTTCCACGAAGACACCTCTCATTATAGTTCCAGATATGGGAAGGGACACAGGACTTCTTCAGCAAAGAAGTAATAATCAAGATAAACACTGCAGCTGACACAAAACCTTGGATGTTTGCTTGGCTAAGTGCTCTACTCTAGTGTTAGAAAAACTACGAGTATTTTGATCTTTTTGATAAAGGCTGCATACAATTCATTTATTTTTCATTGTTTCTAATTGCACACAGCACAGTTAATTGTCTCATAATTCCAAGCGGAAAAGGAAAGGTACCTCTCCGACCCTAACACTTTTTTCTTGCTTCAGTGGGTATGTGACATGCAGATAATTACAAAGTCCAGCAAGATGAAATTCCTAGGCACGAGGCAGAGTGATGGCTTCAATACAAACTCAGAAGGAAAAATAACATGTATGAATCAAAACTACTTGGTCCCCAAATCTCTTAATGGAGGTATCTCAGCAGCATACTCATATAGCTTACCATATCAATCTTTGAAAGTTAGTGGAAGTGTTCTCAACAGATTATGAAACAGTTGGAACAAAAGCTGAACTATCTGAGTATTTCTTAGGAAGATAATTAAATAAGGTGTTTCAGTAGGTGGGAGGAAGAGGAGTAGGCAGAAAAATAAAAGGGAAGCAGAAAGATACACAGAAAGAGGATATAATTAAGCAATATACACACGAATAACTAAGGTGGCATTTACTTTTATAAAAATAAAAGTCACAAAATATTTAGAGACTGAAAATTTATTTTTATTCTAAAAATAGTGCAGTCTTTTGACTATGATCACCATTAAACTAAAAATCAGTATCTTCCTACAGCTACCACTCAAGATATTTACCAAAAAAATGAAATGGTGACATTTTAAAGCTGTCTATTCCACATCTCTGAAAACTGCATTGCTTATTAGATATTCTGTTATATTGCATGAAGTTATTTTATATCAAATTTTATGGCTTTGAGTTTTTACTAGTTATATGCCAGTGTCACAGAGAACTTGAGTAGCATAGCTCAAGTGTGAGAAAGAAAAATATTCCAGATCCAATAAAAATCTTCATTTTTATGTTAATGCCTTGAAAACTCAATCGAGTTTCTCTTGAAGCTCAAACAGCAGCTTTTATGTATTTTATTCTCTCATACGTGTTAAAAAAGACTTGTGTAAGGATCTGTATTCTCATACAATGAAATAAAACCTATCAGAAAAACATCCTGCCATTCTAAGAATGTGTTAATGACAGGGAAACCATCCCTATTGTTGCAGTTTATTATTTTTATTCATGGTTGGGAATGAAGTTTTTGGTGAAGAGTCAACACCTAAGATGTTTCAGGTAAGAAAGAGATTTGAAGACACTATAAAGGCCCTCATGGGATCTAAAGTTTGAGTGTCTTAAATTCCTGGTATTCTTTGAGTTGAGCTAATTTCAGGCTCCACTTCTTACAAAGCACTCGATTACTCTTCTCTTTACATGGTACACCATGACAGCCCCTCAAATATAGTGTATTATGCCTCAGAGAGGAGCAAGAGAGCTTCATGTACCTGTACAATAATTTCCTGGAGGCACTACTGTAGCACTACAAAACACAAATATTCCAGGCTTTGGACAAAACATTTGGAATTTTGCCTGAAGGGAGCTTGGGGATCACTTTTAATGTACTACAGTTTTCAAATAAAAAGTGCTATATTCTGATAGAAAGCATCTGCACTCCAATGTGCACATATATGATTTTGTCTTTTGAACAAAAGTAAAACCTTGTTAAACTCTACAACAGGGTTAGAGCACTGATGGATAAGGGAAGAGCAACTCATGACATCTACCTGGACTTGAGGAAAGCATTTGACACTGTCTCATGTGACATCCTTGTCTCTAAATTGGAGAGACATGGATGTCCTTATATGCTTGATGTATAAGGAATTGGCTGGACGGTCACATGCAAAAAGCTGTGGTCAGTGGCTCAATATCCAAGTGGAGACCAGTGACGAGAGCTGTTCCTCAGGGTTCCATATTGGGACCGGTGCTGTTTTAACATCTTTGTCGATGACATGGACAGTGGGATTGAGTATATCCCCAGCAAGTTGGCTGACAAGACCAAGCTGTGTGGTGCAGCTGACACACTGGAGGGAAGGGATGCCATCCAGAAGGACCTTGATTATGATTATTTCTGTGTTTATTCTCAGAGCTAGTTTTTACTTATATGTATTTTAATTTAGCAGTTCACATACACTTCAAACCAGATTATATTTTATTTTCCACATCTGCTTCTCAGGTTAGCCAAAATCACTACTCTATTTCTATTAGCAGGTTTCACATAGCTCTCTGTGATCACTTCCACTGAGCAAGCGTTTTGCATCATTCTATGCCCCACTTTTCAGTATTGAGAACTATGGCTGATCCTGGGGGGTGATGCTTCTTGGCCAGGTATGTAAGTTAAATACTGATTTCACAAAAATACAAGCATTTTTTTTCCCTTTCCTGAAAGAAGTGCTCTACACACAGAAATTGGTACAAATAAATTAATAAACCTGGGATGCACACCTACTGCTTACCTGACCTGGTTCACATATCGGCACCAATCCAGACGAAAATCTACATGTTTTTCAGAGAGTGGAAAAAACCCTCAATGAACAGATGCCTCTCTGAGCTCTTTGCATAAAGGATAGTATCAATTTGTAGTTCCCACAGGCAAAACCAAACCAAACCAAATCCAATAATGCCCTTTAAATTAAATCACTGAAATATTTTTAGTTATGGGTATTAAATACAGTAGGCTGTCATCTATTTATTCATGTCTGAAGATTAATGTCTGCATCTACCCAAAGGACTTCCTCAATAAGCTGAGGCATGTTGCACATCAAACAAATGCTCTATATATGGGGGGAGGGGGATGAAGGAAAAAAAAGAAGAAATAAATTTTGGTGCAAGTGCAGCAATAAAGGTGATAGTGCAGCAACCAGATACTTTAAGATGTAGCACTGGTAGTCTTACCTGTAAATGACAAGTAACTATTTTGATGGTAGATGAGACTATTTTTCTTCTTCCTGGCTACTAATAAAAGCATGTTCAGAGAAATCGCACTCTGTGGTATCCTAACAGTGTAAACCATCATAAATTGGTAATCTCTAGGTAGCTGTTTCCATATTATTTGTAACAGATGGTAGAGCAGTGGTGTCATTAAATATAATTTCTTCTCATATGATCCCCTATTGGTATGTTTTCTTCTTTTACATTAATGAAAACTCTGGTGGGGGTCTGAGCCTTAGTAGCTCAGATATTCAATACAGATATTCAGGATTCTATGAATACAGTACACTTGGGGAAAAGAGTACCACCAGCAGCAGATGTCAGTGCACTGTATGAGGAATGGACCAGTGAAACACACTTCCATCCGGAAAAGTTTTGAGCCCTGTGCAGGACATATTAATAATCCAAAAGAATACATTTTAATTTATATCTTACCCACCAGCTCAATCCAAAAATGCTTTACTGTGTACAGTAGTGTAGAGTCATGATAAAGAAAAAAACAACACAGAAAGGGCGACAGCCAGGAGTTGCAGGCACGATGTAGTGCCTGTATTTTGGTGAATTAGAGAAGAGGTACAGAGAAAGAGTTTGGTAATGATACTAATGAATTGATTCCTGACACCTCAGGGGCCTGCTACAGTCAGCTCTCTACAGGCAGCTCTTCTAGTTTGTTGACAAATGCAGTCATGAAGGCAGATAACCAAGACAGCTCTATACAGGCCAGGTCACCTCCGGCAGGGTTTATTTATGAGCTCACAGGCTCTGTGGACTTTGCCTGCATTGCTTCTGGGGAAACGGATTCAGTGCAGAATAGTGGCTGAGCAAACAAAACCTGTCAAATCCGGGCTTGTCAGCAGCTGGGTTTCTCTGCTCTCCTCAACCCTTCCAGTTTTAGCATCCTGGCTCTAGCACAGCTTTGCACAAATATACTTCAACCAAAGAGGGCTTCATTTGCTTCCACGTGGCTTTACTCCTTGAAAGAAGCTGGATAGACTCAATAAATGTCTGGGAGCCAAAGTAGCCCTTCTTTTCATGTCCTGTGATTTCCTTGTTGCTTGCGGTACCTCAAAGGCACAGTAAAGAGATGAATGTGTGTTACTCTGGAAATGGAAAAACTCAAAGGATTAGATCCCCAGAGAAAAAGGCTGTTCTGGAAGATAAAGAAAAGGATACTCCTATAATTTGAATAGTAAGACTGGAGAAGAGAAATAAGAGATGTCCAGTTAGCTACTGGGTGGAATCAACACTATCCACCACACTCTGCTGAGATGTCTGAGGTTCCTGTAGAAAATCACTTCCACAGATTAAAAAAAAAAAAAAAGCTGTATAGTTCTCCAAATTCATAAGGTTTCCAGGTGAATTCAGTCAATGAGAAATACGTTGGGTTTGATCACTGGCTTCAAGCAAGTTTGGCTTAAAAATGGGTTCCAGAGACAGAGACCAAAGTGCAAACGGAATTCAGGATAGTCATGCACCACACCATGGCATGAAACAGGTTCCTCCCATTTAAAATGAAAGATTTGGCGAGCAGCAAGGCTTTCATTGCCAAGGGAAGAGAATTTTACTTGTGATGAAAGACAATGTGAGAGAGGTAGTTAAGGATCTAAAGGATCTCTAGAATGGATTTAGGGTCACAGAATCATCTAGGTTGAAAAAGACCATTAATCTAGCAATGCCAGGTCCACCACTAAACCATAACCCTAAGATAAAACAACCCTGTCTGCACTTCAGAAATGCCTTACTCTTTAGATCAGTTAAATACCTTTTCCCAATAATGCTTGAATCATTACATGCCTTCTGTTTGAAACAAGGAATATCTTTGAAAGACAATCGCAAATCCATCTCATTTATTCATAACTTGTCCCAACAGTTAGCTATTCTCAGTGTTCGAGAAGGGCAAGAGCAAGAAAGAAATCTTCTGAACTAGGTTTAGCTTCAGCTTTCAGCCATTGGATTTCTGTGAATATTCTCAACCCCTAGCAAGAGCTTTCAACATTGAGGCATCTCTCTCTTTTTACAGGCATGCATAAACTACAGACAAGTTATATTTAGCACCTTTCCAGATCCCTTGCATGGGTCAGGGTGATAACTCAAGCCTCTGCTCCCTCAGCAGAGGATTTCTCCCATTCTCCAGCAAATATCATGAAGATGCTCCACTACTGTGCAGTGACAGAACTAGCTGTCAACACACGGACTGCAGAGTTTGCAAGCATAGTGAGGATCTGGATAGGAAAATATATTATTCACTAGAATGCCCTAATAAAAAGGTGAAAAATACAAAGGTCTGCCTCATAGAGCATGCAACCAGTTGTATTCCTGTTCATTTGGCCAGCATAACTCTAGGGGGACTAACTTGGTGTCAAGTAAGAGTTCAGAAATAGCAGCTGGATCAGGTGTCTGCTTAGATGTCATTTAAAAGTCAGCATGCCTAAAAGTGCATATTGTGAGCTTCCAAACACCTGGTTCAGGACTTTATTGCAGGTCTGTTCTCTCTTGTTTTCCATTTCTTTTGTTGCTCTGGGAAATTAGTAGCTGCTTCTGCACCCAAGACTTGGTCTAGGGAAACCAAATAAAAGCAAAATCCTAAGCCTGTCTCCTCTTCAGAAGGACACTCCAGCTGTTCTGGTGAGTTCCTACCTTGGAGCTGCAGTGAGCAGCGTAATTTATCTGAAAGGACTAAAAATGATTTTCTGGTTTTCCACTCTGCAGCACCCATTTTATTTCATGCTAAGGCAAATAAATGCATCTACTGCTGTCTTGCTCCTTCCACTGTAATGTATAGGAGGTTAAAGTCACAGTTCAGATCTCAGCAGGTTTAAGATTCAAATGCTCATTATGTATCAGGGGGTCAGTGTTCTAGCAGAGAAACACAAAAGCAATCTTCAAGAGGCATGAAATTTCTTATGTTTAGAAACTCTTTGTAAAGGTCAAGGGTTTTTTAGCTTTTAAAAAGGCAACCTGCAATTCAGAATACTACCAAAGTCCAAATTTCAAGTGGATTAAAAAAACAAAACACCTGAACCTCCAATCCAACAAAGAGTAGGCAGTTTAGATGAGAAAACTTCTATGCATATCCTGTTATTATAATGAAATTAGGAGAAACAAGTAGCTTTCAGAGCTGCCAAGCTAATGAAGCATGATTTCCAACCTCTCTCTCCCGTGAGGATTTTTCTAAAAATCTAATAAGAGTGTATGCTTCCTAACTTCCTTCTTGTGGATTTTAATTGGCTTTTTCCCCTCACCCTGACATAAATTTTCATGGAATGTGTAATTTCTAATACTTTTGAGATTTCTCCTTCTCTGTTAAAGATGTTTGAAATGTGTCTGCTTGCTGAAAGTCATTGGGTGTGGGGGGAAAATGGAAATAAACACCCACAGCATAACTCACTTAGGTCTCATTTCCTTAGGAGACTCAGCTGAAACATTACAAAACCGCATTTAGCTTTCATCTTTCATTGGTTTGTACAATCTAGTGGTGTACAGACCTGCAACCTCAGACTACAACCCCAGTGGTATGCCAGCATAACACACTCTACTCCTCTTGAGTAGCAGCTCACCATAAAGCAAAAAGTGGCCTATCCAAAGAGCAGTAGTAAAAAGCACCAGTAAAAACAAATGCTGTTGATGCTCATGTACAAACCTCACCAAGTATATCTGATAACGAAACAGTAAGGAAAAGATAGAATAACATGTGCAGCCAGGCCCTTCTATATAAATCAATTCATAAACCAACATTTACATGAATATCTTCCTGGAGAAATCTCAGCTATGATTTTTGAAAGTGAATAGTGACCCTAGGGATATAAAGAGTCCAAGTGAATAGTCATGATAACTGTAAATTGAGCAACCAAAAAAAGCCCAACACATACAGTGACAAGTCATTTCTGCATTAGATTTCTTTTCTTTCAAGATCCTCTACAGTTCCTTTCTACTCATTCTCCTTCCAGTGAAGGTTTCACAGTGATAATTCGAACATTATTTCAAACACAGTAGCCTATTACAGCAAGACATTTCTTGTCTACTTCCATTATTTGTCATTTCTGAACTAGTCGAGATTAAAATAGGGGTTTTTTTTAGAGAAAGGGCAGCAGCTCTTATCAATGAGTTTTCTGGAAGAGAGAGAGGGTGAAGCAGAGTTCTCATACGTATTTTCACAGTGTTTCAGACTGTACTTTCAACAACACTCATCTGGCATTTCTGTCCCCTCCAACACAAGTATGGAATTAACTGGAAAATTCACCAACTAGCTCTCAGCTGCTGGAGAGTTTCTTAAGCTGCAGAGAATGGGAGAAGGTTGTGAGGTGGGTTTTGCAAATTCATGCGACCTCAAGGGCACAACAGAGGTGCGAACCCAAGGAAGCCTTTGAATGTTCATGACATAAATCTAAAACTTCCTATGAAGACTGAACGAAAACCTACAGAAGCTAAAGGAAATCCTTCCATTGACTTCCAAAAGCTTGAGACTTGATGCAAAAGAAAGTTAAGGCACATATAGGTATACTGTTTCATAAGAAAAGGACAATTTTTTTTGATAGCACAGATTTCTTGTTCTCTAGCTGTCTTTACCTGAATTTTGCTGTCTACGTCTGAATTTTCTGCTCTGATACATACCCATCCACCAAAGTCCTAGAGGTTTTATTCATGCAATGATCCAGTTGTATCGATGGAAATTTTAAAACAAATAAAGCAACTGGATTTGGCAGTCAGCAACAAAGATTTTTTGAAGACAATCCATCTCAGCAACCTGCTTCAGCCAGATATCTTGTCTTTAGTTCAAATGAGAAATTTAACATTAAATCACAAGTCCAAATTCTAGTTTAACTCTTATTCTCATTTAATCATACTCAAGCCATTCAAGCTTCCTGAGCTGTCAATCAGGACAAGATTTAACTCTTCTTGCCTTACTTCCTATCCCCAGTTCTCACACAGACACTACTATACACATTAAAATTATTACCATTCTTCTCTATCTGCATCACAGTTGCAAAAATATCTCATATCCAGACAACTTTCTTCCAGTCCACATGCACACTGTTGAATGCCCGGAAGAGATCCTCCCCAGTAAAGATGCTTTTCATTGGCACGGCCAACCCACCAAGCAAATGGCGTTCCATCTGGATGAAAGGGAAAAAGAGGGGAAAAGAAAGAGAAAAGATAAAAACAGAGAGAAAGAGAACTTGTAAGCAAACTGGATTCTCCTGAGAATGAAAAAAAAAGAATGGAGGTGGACATGTTAAATAATACTGAAAGAAAAGATGCAAGCTACAGAAGTAAAAACCCATAAACTTTGCCCAAGTTCATTTGATGGAACTCGCATTGAGTTTACAGCTCTATGGTAATTCCATTTGGTTTGAGAAGCAGATGTTTTCCCCACAAGGCTCATACACCAATCATTCATGAGAACCTTGGCATATTTCACCTGCAATGACTTTTGATGCGTGAACACACCCCCTCTGTCCCAACCAGCTGTGCCCAGTGTTTTTGTGTGATGCTAGAGAGGGCATCTGGTCACTGAAAGAGATTGAAAACAATTATCCTGCCACAACTCACACCGTACAGCTGTCTTGAACCACCAAGTATTGGTTAAGGACCTCTTCCAGAGTTTACCTGTTAAGAAGGAGACTCTAGCTCTTAGATTGGGATTTTTTTTTTTTTTTTTACCTTATGACACATATATAAATAGCAAAAATCTTCACAAATAACTCATGAACCAACCTATTACTACGGGCTTAATATAGTTCCTCTCAAAACTAAGACAAATTTTGCATTGGTTTCTAAGGGAGCAGGACCAGGTAGTTTAATGTGTTTTCCAAGAGTGGAATTTGCAAATGCAAAGTCCATAAGATATTAAAACTTCCTAGGTTAAGCCTTCAGGTAGGACATAAGTGGGGGAAAAGATTTCCCTCCTTGGGAATTAATTTGTCTCTGTGAAGTTATTGTCTATCTACAGGAGCTCTAAGATCTATGTATTTATATAAACCAAGATAGCTTTGTTTAAATTTCATAATCCATTATACATCAAGCATTAAATATTAATAGTCAGATACAGTAAGCGGATTCAGATGTAATGAAAATCACGGATTAACATTTTGCTAAGATTGACTTTGTCTTCCAGCTCAGATAACTTTTTCATTGACTTCTTAATCCTTAAATCAAGAAATGTGATCAGTTACACATATAGGTAGATGGCAGAATTTAGCAAAATTGACATATTGAGACTTTTTGATCAAAGGAGCTTGGAAAAATAAACCTCACTGCTAATGTAGAGAAATGTATCAAATTATTCTTCTGTTTTACAAACATTATTAGTAGGCAGTATTCCTCATTATAGTAAGCAAGAAAGTCTAAAATACAAAATGCAATCAAGGTTAACTGTAGAGTGTAAGGGACTAATTAAAATGAGTTTTAGAATCACTAGGCAAAATAAATTCATATTTGTTTTCCTTCTAAGCTTAGACTGCTGAACTGTAAATTCAGGAACAAAGGAAAATAAAAATAGGAAGAGTAATTCCATTCTCATGATACCAACAATTAAGACATGACGAGTTTGACCAATACCCAGTGGTACTCATTAGAAAAACTCAATTTAAGAACACCTAAAGATTCATCTTACAAAAATGTGAACACTAATTTTAGGTCTCATATTATTGTTGACATATTTATGTTTTCTTTCTTCTCTTTTCAGCTGATTTTCTTGCAGAAGCTGATTGCTGTGGCCACTGAAACAGATCTATACTAAATTATTGTGAAATTACTTGGTAAAGCTTGAAATAGTAATGTTAATTGATTAAAAGGGTGATTTGTCTAGGACTTGAAATAGATATTATACAGAAGTGCTTAATCTAATTTTAAAAGTGCCCATTTTGGAAAGAAATATTTAGATAAATATAAATCCTTTAGGCCATCAGCAAACAATGGTATTCATTAATCAAATTCAACCTATGTCAGAATTTTTTGGCAGAAATCATTACATACTTAAACATAGGAGTAAAATAAGCATTCATTCATAGGAATTAAGAATGAGTAGCTTTCTGATGTCTTTTTCATATTGTTGTTTGTTTTATTGAGCAATACCAAGGAAACACATACACATCCAGATTTATGATATAGACTGGGGAAGTGGTAGAAGCACCACAGTTTGAGTCATTTACAATTAAATTAAATACAGTGCTAAAAAATAGAGCATTCAACATTATGAGGAACAATCTTAGATTGTCAAGGGAACAGCCTAGCAAAAAAATGTGTCTTTTCAAAAATTCTATTGATTAGGGAATGTTCTGCCACCCTTTCCTCAAGATGAGTACATTTTTTTTCCCTGACTAGACCTTTAGAAGTCAACTGTAGTATTAAGGAAAATTATATCTAATTCTTCAAAATTTTTTCACGTGTTTAATTTTTAACACACAAAAAATGACTTGAGGTATTCAACAAAGCTCTTACAACTAAGATGCTTCAGCAATGTCTGAAGTGTTTAGAATTTACTGAAACATATTGTATGTCCTATACCTGTAATGCTGAAGAATATTTCACTAGTAATGCAAATGAATCTATCCCTGGGTTCTTTGCAGAAAGTTTACACCATTATACCTTAGTAGAGCTGGAGGGTGCCTTGCACTGAGATTGAGTTTGGCCAACAAATGTTGATTAATATTTTTTCTTCTACGCCTTTAGACTTGTTGCAGTATGTTCACTTCTGTAATCGTGGTATTATCGTTTTTTCAAAGTGCTATCAATCTCCACCACCTAAAAATGAATAATTTCCTTTCTCTGATGAAGTGACAGACTGTCAATGACGTTAACATGGCCCCATAAGCTAATGGTTACATAGGTCAGTAGAATTCTACTTTAAAATTTCTAAGCTAAAAAGTCCATTTAATAAGAAGTGCTACTAATTCTTCATTCTATGCTTACATTGTACTTAATAACACATTCTTTAGTGAAAAGAAAGTCAGAAGTCTACTAAACAAATAAAAGTATTACTTTTCATGCATTTTTGTCTATTTAAAACTGAATAAAATTCCACTATAACAAAGTTAAGATTGTCTTTGAACTCCATTCCATGGTTCTGAAGGAGTATGTGTGAAAAAAATTCCAAACCAAGCAAAGCAAAAAAGCCCCAACTGACTGAATTCATCAGTAAAAGAAGAGAGACCAGTTTCTTTCAAGTGATTTCCTCCTGTACTGCTCAAGCTGTCTTTGGAAATTTTTAATTTTGATAACAAACCCCTCAAAAAAGACATTTTTTATTCATTTTCTGCAGAGGACAATAACCCTTTCTGTGATGACACTCTCTGGAAGCCTCTACAAACAACTGTGATATTTACATCACTGGTTTTACCATAATTTAATAAGGTATCAAAAAAAAAGAAGTAAGCAGGGAGACAGTATTTTGTATCAAACCAAGTACTGCCACTTGTTCATGCTGCCAGAGACAGGCTGCAGAAAGTAAGGTTGGTATGGGTCTTCTGAAAGGAAAAAATAAAGGGTCTCATTTTCAGTTGATCATTTTGATGCTTCCCTCTACTCATGTCCATAGGCTGGTCCCTTGCAGTTTGCTGGTCTATTCAACAGCCACCGCACTTATGTATCTGAATCACCAAGACAGACTTTGGGAACCCTGACATACACATTACTGAAACAGTCAGTTTTTCTCCATTCAGCGAGGAATAGAAAACAAGCTCCTTTCAGATGACAGAGCAGACCTCCAGTACCTGCCCTATCAACGCATTTAACAAAACTGATCATTGTTAGTTCTCTGCATGAAACCTATTAGAGCAGAAGCAAGGCTGGCACAGACTGCACAGTTCACAAGCACAGAGGCTGAGGACTACGAAGAGAAAAGCGAATGTATGGAGGTTGTTTCCCATGATCCTTAGAAGGAGATGCAGATTGAGATCAAATTCACCTGCAATGCGTATCTGGCTCTTCTAGTGACAAGATTGGCTCAGTGCGTATTCGGCATCCCTCTACAAGCTGACAAGAAAATGCCTGTCATCTTAGATCTCCCTTGTACTGACAGTTCTCTTATTCTTTGTATTAGAAGGCAGTGACACTGCTAGCAATACAAGTTATTTATAAAAGTTTTAGGTTTGCTGATGTTTTAAATGGCAGAGATGTTTTTCAAAAAATATTTGTATAGGCACTTGGAAGCTGAAGGAGGGGGAGAAGCAACATAGTCCAGCAGCATTTAGGACTAAATTACTATGTATATAAATTCGAAGCAACTTCTGTGGATTGAGTTTACCTATATATAGACAGAAAGTCTTATCATTGGCTTTTATTGTTTATATAGCATTAGTTAAAACAAAGCCATGCATTTTTAACAGCATTACATTTACAACATTTGTCAAGATTTGTCTGCATCCTTTGCCAGCTGATTCTTGCTATTGCAACAAACAAAAATCTAACAATGGAAATACAACAAAATAAACTAGATCCCTTGTTAAACTCCTGTGCTGTATAAACCTGAAGTCTGACTCAGTAATTACATACCCCTAATACAGGTAAAGCTTTGGGAGTACCCAAGTTACTAAAACAGAGCAGTTAAAGGTCTTTACCATGACCACAGCAAGTCACTATTTGTATCCATCTGTTGAAACTCTGAAACCATATTGCATTGAAACAACATTCTTTTGGCAGTCTTAGTTTTTTCTCCAAAATGAAGGTGAGTTAAGCAGAACTGAATTTCTTGAATCTTACAGCTATACATCTTACTGATGAAAAGGTAGATTAATTTACATCTATGCTGTTTTCCTCTTTAAATGAATGATTCATATATCAAGAGACAGTGAAATCAAGGCAAATATTTATTGTAGAATTGCATAAAGCACTAAAAGCCAATTCTTTGCTACTGCACTCATAAACATAAAATATATTTGCACTAACCACTTCAACAATATCAAATACTGCAGATGGCTCACCTGATACATTGAACATTATCCGAAACAAGAAGTTAGCAGCTTGTTTTTATAGGTATATCTGTATCTAAACACACGAGACAATTTCAAATTGGATAACTGAACCCAGAGGTCAATCCAGAGTACAAATTATGATCTCAGCTAATCCATTTTTAAAACGCTCAAGAAAAAAACGGAGAAAGGGGTAAGAAAGTTAGAACAAGG